GAGATACTAAAACTTCTTGAGGCAGGAATAATTTACCCAATCTCTGACTCAAGATGGGTGTCTCCTGTTCATGTTGTGCCCCAAGAAGGGTGGGATCACAGTGGTTAAAAACGAGAAGGATGAGCTTATAGCTACTAGAACTGTCACAGGACACAGAATGTGTATAGACTATAGAAAGATCAATGCAGCCTCTAGGAAGGATCATTTTCCTTTACCTTTCATTGATCAGATGTTAGAGAGGCTTGCAAACCACACCTTCTTTTGTTTTCTCGATGGGTACTATGGATTTTTTCAAATTCCCATAGATCCAAGAGATCAAGAGAAAACAACATTCACATGCCCTTATGGCACATTTGCATACAGGCGAATGCCTTTTGGTCTCTGTAATGCCCCTGCAACATTTCAAAGATGTATGATGCACATTTTCTCTGACATTATTGAAGAGAAAGTTGAGGTGTTCATGGATGACTTTAGTGTCACAGGACACAGAATGTGTATAGACTATAGAAAGCTCAATGCAGCCTCTAGGAAGGATCATTTTCCTTTACCTTTCATTGATCAGATGTTAGAGAGGCTTGCAAACCACAACTTCTTTTGTTTTCTCGATGGGTACTATGGATTTTTTCAAATTCCCATAGATCCAAGAGATCAAGAGAAAACAACATTCACATGCCCTTATGGCACATTTGCATACAGGCGAATGCCTTTTGGTCTCTGTAATGCCCCTGCAACATTTCAAAGATGTATGATGCACATTTTCTCTGACATTATTGAAGAGAAAGTTGAGGTGTTCATGGATGACTTTAGTGTCTATGGCTCCTCCTTCTCGGATTGTCTCTCTAATTTGTTACAGGTCTTGGAGAGATGTGAGCAGCACAACTTGGTGTTGAACTGGGAGAAGTGCCACTTCATGGTGCAGGAAGGAATAGTTCTTGGGCACAAGATATCTGAGAAGGGTATTGAGGTTGACAGAGCAAAGGTGGAAGTGATGGTGAATCTGCAAACCCCCACTTCAGTCAAAGGGATAAGGAGTTTCCTTGGGCATGCAGGGTTTTACAGAAGATTTATCAAAGACTTCTCAAGAATTGCCAGGCCCTTGACAAGACTGTTGTGTAAAGAAGTGGACTTCATCTTTGATGCTGAATGTGAAGAAGCCTTCAAGTTGATCAAGGAGGCATTGGTTAGTGCACCAATAGTTCAGGCACTAGACTGGTCCCGTCCTTTTGAGGTCATGACAGATGCATCTGACTTTGCTGTTGGAGCAGTTCTTGGGCAAAAGAAAGACAATAAGCTACATGTCATCTACTATGCCAGTAGAACACTTGACTCTGCACAAGAGAAGTATGCTACTACTGAGAAGGAAATGCTGGCAATAGTCTTTGCCTTTGATAAGTTCAGAAGCTACCTGGTGGGATCAAAAGTCATTGTATATACTGATCATGCAGCCCTCAGGTATCTGATGACCAAGAAAGATGCCAAGCCAAGATTGCTAAGATGGGTTCTTCTACTTCAGGAGTTTGATATGGAAGTACAAGATAAAAAGGGTATAGAGAATGGAGCTGCAGACCATCTCTCAAGGCTGAGGATTGACTCCGAAGTGCCTCTCAATGATAGTCTTCCTGAGGAATCACTGATGGTGTTCCATTCTTATTTGGAGTTTGAAGAAGTGGAGAGTATTCAAGAGAGGAGGATGCCTTGGTTTGCTGACATAGTGAACTATCTTGCTTGTGGAGTGGAGCCACCTGAATTAGATGCTTACAAGAGGAAGAAGTTCTTCAGAGAGGTTCAGAGATACCATTGGGATGAGCCCTACCTCTATGTCCTGAACAAAGATCAGCTGTATAGAAGGTGTCTTGCTGAGGAGGAGATGCAACCTGTGTCGCAAGAGTGTCATGGTTCAGCTTTTGGGGGTCACATGGGAGCATTCAAGACTGTGGCCAAGGTTCTTCAGAGTGGGTTTTGGTGGCCCACAATGTTCAAAGATGCTCAGTTAGTGGTTTCAGCATGTGATGCCTGTCAGAGGCATGGGAACATATCAAAGAGGAGTGAGATGCCTCAAAACCCAATTCTAGAAGTTGAGATCTTTGATTGCTGGGGGATTGACTTTACGGGGCCCTTCATTTCATCCTATGGGAATCAGTATATACTTGTTGCTGTGGACTATGTCTCCAAATGGGTTGAGGCCATTGCTTCCCCTACCAATGATTCCAAGGTTGTAGTGAAGCTGTTCAAGAGCATTATCTTCCCAAGATTTGGAGTTCCAAGGGTTGTCATCTCTGATGGAGGATCTCATTTTGTGAACAAGACGTTGGAGGGTTTGCTGAGAAAGAATGGAGTGAAACACAAGATAGCTACTCCATATCATCCTCAAACTAGTGGCCAGGTGGAGGTATCTAATAGACAGATCAAAGCCATTCTTGAGAGAACTGTTAGCTCAAGCAGAAAAGATTGGAGCAAAAGGCTAGATGATGCATTGTGGGCTTATAGGACTGCCTTTAAAACTCCAATTGGGACATCACCTTTCAGTCTGCTATATGGGAAGAGATGCCACCTTCCTGTTGAGTTGGAATACAAGGCTATGTGGGCTGTGAAGTTGCTGAACTTTTATATCAAGACAGCTCAAGAGAAAAGAGTCATGCAACTCCATGAGCTTGAGGAGATTAGGCTTGAGGCTTTTGAGAGCTCCAAGATCTATAAGGAGAAGACCAAAGCTTTGCATGATCAAAAGATTCTGAAAAGGGAGTTCAAGGATGGTGATTTGGTGTTGCTGTTCAACTCTAGACTTAAGTTGTTTCCAGGAAAACTTAAGTCTAGATGGTCTGGACCCTTTAAGGTTCTTGAAGTCAGGCCATATGGAGCTGTTGTCTTGGAAGGAAAGAATGGTCAAGAGTTTGTGGTGAATGGACAAAGGATTAAGCATTATCTGGTTTCACAAAAGAAGGAGGAAGCTACATCAGTTCCCTTTCTTGATCCACCGCTGTTAAACAGGTTTCCAAAGTCAAACTTAGAGACTTTAAACAAAGTGCTCTTGGGAGACACCCCAAGCTTATCTTTGTACATAGTCCTTTTGATTTCTTCTCTTTTCTTTTATGTTTTAGAACTTTTTGATGGGTTTTGTGAGTTGTTCTCTGGTTCTAGGTGATTTTTGGAGACATAGCTCAGTGATGAATGGAAGGGAGCATATGAGAGGGCTGGGGGAAGTGTTTAAGGACTGAAAAACTTGGAGAACGCCTCAGTGCTACCTAGGTGTGCGATCTGGATCAGGAAGAGCCCAGGCCGCAGCAGGACTCGCAATTTACTCCGGCCTGGGCGTGCTACCTAGTGAAAGGAGTCCAGGCCGCAGAAAGAAGAAGAACAGGCCAAGAGTTCTAGTCCCAAACTCTGCTACCTGGTGCTGCGGCCTAGAAACAATAGAAGCCAACCCGCACATCCATCCGCAAAACACTCCGGCTTAGGCATGCTACCTGGAAGCACGAAGACTAGGCCGCACCAAACAAAAGGAGTCCAAAACGTCTAAGTCCTAAACTGTGCTAGCTGGTGCTGCGGGTAAGAAGAGAGGAGTCCAGGCCGCATGAAGACTCTCAAATTACTCCGAGATGGTCGTGCTACCTGGGAAACATGAAGACTAGGTCGCAGCAATGGAAGAGTGGCCGAGGAGTTTAAGTGACAAAAGCTGCGGCTTAGGTGTGCTAGCTAGGAAAAAGGAGCCCATGTCGCAGCACAAGAGGGATGGCCGAGTTGTCTAAGTCCAGAAACCTGCGGCCTGGTCGTGCTACCTGGAAACAAAGGAACCTAACTCGCAGCCCAACTCTCAATTTACTCCAAGTTGGTCGTGCTACCTGGTGAAAGAGGTCCAAGCCGCAGCAAAAGAGGAACAGCCAGAATGTCTAAGTAACAAACCCTGCAGCTTAAGTGTGCTACCTGGAAACAAAAGAACCTAACTCGCAGCCCAACTCTCAATTTACTCCAAGTTGGTCGTGCTACCTGGGAAGAATGAGTCCAAGCCGCAGCAAAAGAAGAGTGCCCAAGCTGCCTAAGTCACAAAACCTGCGAGATGGTTGTGCTACCTAGGAACAAAGAAGACCAACCCGCACATCCATTCGGAATTTACTCCGAGTTGGTCGTGCTAGCTGGAAAACATGAAGAAAAGGTCGCAGAAGAAAAAGAAAGGCCTGAGTAGTCTAAGTCATAAAAGCTGCGGGATGGTTGTGCTACCTAGAAACAAGAGGAACCAAACCGCACATCCATTCGCAAATTACTCCGACTTGGTCATGCTAGCTGGTTTCAATGGGTTCCAAGTAGCAGCAATGAGAAAAGATAAAACCGGGCTGAAGGATCTTTACTGTGGGTTGGTCGTGCGGGTTAGAAAGAGAATGACCAGGTAGCACAAAAATATTTCCGGTTCTGCACCAAGACGGTCATACGGCTCGATCCCGACGGTTCCCGGACGCACAAAAGAGAGAAAGGAGGCCGGTCAATGAGAAAAGGACGGGTCAAAGCCTTGACTGGTCAAAATAGATCTATTGACCACCAGTCCAAAGGATTGACCCTGTCCCACACTCCCTCTTCCCCACAACAAACCCGAGTTTGCAACTCTTTCTCTCATTTCTCTCCATTGTTTTCACCATATCTCTCTCATTTCTCCACCAAATTTGTTGATTCAAAGTGCTCTGAGCTCGTTTTTGAGTTGTTAACATCATCCTGATTGCATTTCAAACTCGTTGCATCTTAATCCCAAGGTATTTTATCCTGTTAAAATTCACCTTTTTCCATGTTCTTCAATGGTGATTTATGAGCTTCAAAGTGTGGAATCGATTTTGATAGGTAGTTTTAGACCTTGGAATTATTTTTATAAATGCTAGGGTGCTAGATAGTCTTGGAAAACAGAGCACTTTGTTGGTGATTCCTTGTTCTTGAGTTTTGAAAATTGTTGCAAGTAATTCATGAAGAAAAATTGATTTTTTTTTTAAAAAAAAAAAAAAAAAAAGAGAGATGAATTGGTTTCTTGCTGAGTCTTTGCTTTGCACTCTTGTTTTTGCATTGCTATGAACTTATTGGATTGATACTTGGCTTGAGAAACCTGTTCATGTGGTTTTAAAATCGATTCTTGCAACAAATGTTTTTCAAAATTTTGAAGAATTTTGTGAAGCTTGTTCTTGTACTAACATTGTTTTTGAGAATCTCTTGGCAGATGACTGAAAGAACCAACTCTCTGGCTAAGAAGAAGGAAATGCATCAAAGGGCAAAGGTTTGGTCTCAGGATCTTCAAAGCCAAGAGAAAAAGGTCAAGGAGCAAAGAATACCACAAAGCAAGGGAAGTGTGATCCAGCGCCAAAAAGGACAAGGCCTGAAGGAAAAACTTTGGTGGTTGCTTCTGGTTCCAAGAAGAAGGGGAAACAATTGGCTGTGGTATCTGAGAGTGAACAGACTGAAAGTGACTCAAGCAGCTCAGCTGGTGGTTCCCAAGGCACCATTGAAGAGGGATCAAAGAAGTTCAAGACAACTGAACCAGAAACACTTGATTATCTGGCTAAGTTTCAACAGATAGAGATCCAGCAAGGGAGATTCCCTGATTTGGACTTTCTGAAGAAGATTGGCATCTATGAAGATGTCAAGACTTTGCTTGGGAACATGGGTGTTGAGTCACTTTTGGAGATGAGAGAGATCGCTTATGAACAAGAGTCTCAAGAATTCTTGGCGTCCTTTGAAGCTTTCATTTACTACCCAGTTCATCTCAACTCGCTTCGAAGCTTTCTGCGAGAAATGGAAAACTCGTCAGAGCAAGTCTACGCCGAGATATCCCCAGGGGAATGGACAAGCCGAAGCAGCCAACAAGACGATCCTAGACGGCCTAAAAAGAGGCTCGACGACCAAACTCGAAGGAGTCCTTTGGTCGCATCGGACGACTCTGTGCCGAGTCACTGGAGAAACTCCATTCGCTCTCGTCTATGGAATGGAGTGCGTAATTCCCCCTGAGGTGGATTTCCCAGGGATTCGACGAAGACTTCTGCCAGGACAGGAGGGTTTGAATCACTTAGTGATGCTGGACGAACTCGACTTAGTCAACAAAAGGCGTGACCAGGCTTTAATCCGAGTTTAGAACTACCAACAAGCAACGGCGAGATACTACGACAAAAATGTCCGAAGCCGAAGATTTAAAGAAGGAGAGCTCGTTCTTCGAAAAGTGTTCCAAAACACTGCCGAGAAGAATGTAGGAAAGCTCTGAGAAAATTGGGAAGGCCCTTACAAGATTACAAAAGTAGTTCGCCCAGGAGTCTATGAACTTGCGACGGTAGCAGACGAAGCAATTTCAAGGTCGTGGAACGCAATGCACCTAAAGAAGTATTATCACTAAGGCTATAACACGTCAACATGAACTACGGGACGGCTTGATCCCTGCAAAGGATACGTAGGCAGCCCCTCTGGTTCAGCTGTCCCCCCTCCTAAAAAGGGGGGGGAGTAGGTACGTATACACATACCTTCATTAACTGTAAGATTTCAGCTTGTTGAGTCTACTATCTCTAAGATCATTGTCACTTCGGCTAGTTTTTTCATTCATTTTACTCCAGCTAGTTTTTCATTTACTCGTGTTCACCTTGGATGTTTAATTCATTCATTGTCATTTCGGCTACTTTTTCATTCATCACTTGCGTCCACTTCTCCTAGACTTTTACTTGTCCTTGCATTCAATTTTCTGATCTATAGTTCTAAAACACCTCGCCTCGTTGCTGGCCACAACGAGACAACAGTCACAAAGTTCTCTAAATGGACTTTTTATCACCTTTCCTAGGACGAGGGTGCAAGTCACATCCTCTATGGATTAAAATCAAGCGCGCTATACAGATTTTGGACCAAAAACGTATCGGTCACCACAGTTCGTCATCGCACACGAGATTGTAAGTCGAGACTACATCGCTTTCTCTAAAACCAAAACGAACTCTCAAAACCCGGCAAATGCATTCACCCTCTCGAAAACGCCGGTCTAAAATCGAACTCTGATATCCCTCTGATATCATCTAAGGACATAGACCTCGGCAACGAGAGTTCTAAACTTAGCGCCTCAGACGGTCAGAACTAAATCTGAGTTAAAATGTCTCGCACTCTCTCTTTCCTAGCTCAAACGCCTTGGCGCTAACGGTCGAATGCATAAAAGAACGTTAATCTCTTTTGTCAGAGTTACCTAAAACAAGGACATGTCACAAAGCAACTCCCAGCTCGTGATTTAGATTTAAACAGAAATTATACGATATGTGGAAAAACCAACTATAACTTAAACAGCCTATTCCTTAATCCGATTTTTTTTTTCGACCTTTCGTCATGGTCCGGCCAAAAAAGAAAACACAAGCACTCTTGGCCCGGCTTGACGAACCAACTAATGACAGCTCGGTCCAACAACAGCTTCCGAAAAAGTTTCCAATCCGAAAAAGTTTCCAATCCGCTAAAGGCAAAAGTAACAATTCCAAAAAATGACTAAGGGGAAAGACAGGTATAACCACTACCAAATCAATCCATCAATAAAATCAATAGTCAAGTGGATAAAGCCATCCAGGCGCCAATTACGAAAAGTGGATAAAGCCATCCAGGCACTTAGTACAAAACGCTAGAAATAAAAGATAAGGGAGGAAGGGGGAGAGTCAAGCTGCTGATTGCGTCTCTCGCTCGGCAAGGAGGTTCGAAAGGGCTGGCGTACCCGTGTTCGATCCGGTCGGATCTCCAACACCCAGATTAGCCGCTGTCTCCTCAATCGGCTCGTTACCCAGGCAGGTGGCTACAGAGTCCGGCGACACGGGCGAGAAGACTAGCTCACCTCGGATCTCGGATGCGATGCGCTCATACGCCTTATCGTCGATGTATTCGCTCTCCGAACGCTTTAACTTCGTCTCTTCGTCATCGAGAGTCGGGCCATCCGGTTTCCTCAGGTCGTCGATCATAGCAAGGTTGCCATTGATCTGCCCAAGCTCATTCTCTTCAATTTTGGCCTTCTCGAGCTTGGCGAGACCTTCCTTCACCTTGGCAAAGCGTTCCTGAAACTTGGATGTCAACTCTCGCCTCGCTTCGTTCTTCGCACGCTTGACCTTATCATCAAACAAGGCATCCTTGGCCTCGATACGCCTCTTAAGCAACCCCACCTTGGCGCTTTTGGCTCTCCTGGCCTCTTCGAGGCGAATAACCGTGACGGATACCTTATCGACATCGGCATGAAGAGCTATCTTCTCCTCTTCCAGCCTCTTCACCTTGGTCATCGCCTCGTCAAGTTTCCCCTTTGCCACTGCGGTCTCATTCCGAGCTTCATCCAGACGACGTTCGACCTTAGACAGGTCCGCCTCGCACTCAGCCATCAGCTCGTTGATAGCCGCTACAAACTGCAAAGAATAATATGTGTTAAACATTTAGCCGGAATTCGACACGGAAAAGTAGCTGGAAAAATAAACAGAACAGACCTTGGTACCGCGCTGTGCCATTGCACCATAGGACCTCGGTCTCCTCAGCTGCTCGGGAGGAGGAAGCCGCGAAAACATCACCGCCGAGGCATCCGGGTCGTCGACGACCAGTTTGCGTGAAGCGGGATCACCAGACGCCGGCTTGCGTTTCTTCTTGGGCGGCTCGTTTTTCTGAACAGCCACGCCTTTCCCTTTCTCAGTGGCTGATAGTTTTTGACCAGCGTCGTGTTTCTGTAGATGTGAAGCTGAGGGCCTTGACGACTTCGGGAGAGCCAAAATAGCCGAGTTGGAAGGTGTTTTGCTATGAGCCGCAGAATTGTCTTTGGGCATCTCGGGGATGATCTCACCTGGTTCCACCTCGGGCGCCACCTCCTTCTCAACCACCTCGGCAACATTCGCCCCCACAGCTCGGATCACGCCTTCCCCTTCACGGCTCGGTGGATCGTCTTGAGGGATAGCCTCGGCCTCCGTTTGAGCCGCCTCGGCGGCTCGTTTTGCAGCCTCTTCCTCTTCATGCCTCTTTCTGTCTCTAAGAGTGATGATCACCATTTTTTCCCTTGTATCTCCTGAAGAATTCGAAGACGAAGTGCTAACAGGTACTCCGGCGAAAATCGCTCGCGCTCTTTCCACTCTCTCAAACGTAAAGTGCTTCCTCCAATTGACTCTCCGAGCCGCAAGGGTATCTCGAACAACGAAGAGGTCGTCAGGAACTGGGGGAAGAATGCTCCGAACAGCAAAAACAACACAAAATAACCAGTTTAGTGAAGAGAAAATCGTACCATAACAGCTCCGAGCCGAGGCAAAGCTTTGGATCGGCTACCAAGTGGTCCCCAAGCGGTCTTGGTTTTTCGGACGAAGTCCTCGCCAACCGATGCCTCGTTCACCAAGACATAGACGAAACGCGCGGTCCAAAACTGATCTTTGCTTGGGAAACCGCCTATAATCCGGCGATTAGACTTGTTGGAGATATAAAATCTGCCTCCCTTTGGAGCCTTTCTAATCGCCAACAAGTTTAGCAGATGATCCAGCTCAATGTCGAGTCCGCATTCAAAACCCAAACTAGGATGCCGATCATATGCCGCAAGCCCCTCGGCATAATCTGCCCAATCGAGATCCCGTGTTTCCACAGGTACTCGAGGATAACTCCAGGGATCGGGAAACAGAGGAAACAGAGCTCGAAGAACACCTCGTACAGGGTAAAGTGATTTTCAGGGGGTTTGTCAGCTCGGTCGCTATTCTCTGGAATGACGAATTCCACCGCCTCGGACATTCCAAAGCGACATCGCAACGCCTCAAGCGAGTCGGGGGAAGAAAGTGTGGCACCAGGCGGGTCAGGTTTTTGTCTTCTCCCTCGCTTGTGTTTCCCCTGCCCTGACAAAGAAGCACCTCGGGATGCCATGAGACGTTCTAATTCAAGCCTCGCCTCGACTGGATCAAAGGGAAACGCTTCTTCCTCAGCCTTTATTATGGCATAATCAATGTCTTCAATATAGGCAGAACCCCGGGAGCAGCTCGTCAAAACCGACGGCTTGTTATTGGGAGAGCAAGCACATGATGGATTTGAATGATTCGACGCCTCGTCGCCTTCGGATGAATGATTGGAAGGGCTCGGCAAGACAGACGCCTCAGAGGACCCTGTTACGCCTCTCACCTTGGCATCTACGCGGCTCGACACATAGTAAAAAAGTGGATCCAGCGAATCGTCGGAACGGTTCAACATGGTTTACAGTTTGTACAGGAATTACTATACTACGAGGCGAATTTTTGTCGGAATAATATCTGGAGCGACGGAGGCCTCCGAACCCTAGCCGGAAAATAAATAAACTAGAGAGAGAAAGAAGAGAGAAGGGAGAGCTACCTTTAGTGAAATAGCCGAGAATCTTCTTCCGGAAGACCAACGGTCGGGAGGTCTGAGTCTTCAGCTGATGTCTCGGCATAGTTGTAACAACACGCCTTGTCGTTTATTCGGCTCGGCATTCTGTTTCGCCTTTCGCCAAACACAGATCGGCATTGCTAACAGAAACGCCTCGTCGTTATCTTGAAACATGGCTCGGCATTGCTAACGGAAACGCCTCGTCATTACCTTGAAACAAGGCTCGGCATTGCTAACAGAAATGCCTCGTCGTTACCTTGAAACACGGCTCGGCATTGCTAACAGAAATTCCTCGTTGTTACCTTGAAACACGGCTCGGCATTGCTGATAGAAACGCCTCGTCGTTCCTTGAAACACGGCTCGGCATCAGTAACAGAAATGCCTCGCCGTTGCCTTGGAACATGGCTCGGTGTTATCAAACAAGAACGTCCCGACGATTCGACATCTTTACACAAAACGCCTCGTCGTTTATTCAGCTCGGCGTAGCTCCCACAGGTCGTCTGGTCGTTAATAAGACGCCTTGGCATTACTTTATCTCAACACGCCTCGTCACAAGGCACGGTTCGGTACTATATAGGGACCATGTCACTAAAAACAGCTCGCCATCATCTATGAATGGCTCGGCATTTCCCTTCAAACAGCCTCATCAGCAAAAGCTCGTTATAATGCCACGTAAAGAATGGCTCGTCCAAAATTGTTTCATAACGGCCTAACTCGATGGTTTATCCTATGGCCAGGAACAATGAACCTCATCACTCTCGTCTCTGAAACTGACGAGCTGGGGGGCTGACTGTTGGGGTCGGTTTCACCCCTCCTTGATCAAACCATCTCGAAAATGACCAAGTACCGAAGAAAACCGATTACGCGAGAGCAGCTGCCCGCCAGACATGAACCGAGCCGACCTACGAAACAAGTGGGTCGAGCCGTATTCATCAAGGCAAGTGTACCGAGCCGCGGACAAAGACAGACGGGCCAAGCTGTACAACCAGATTTCCATTGCAAGTAGAATCAAAGCAATCTAATGGTTAGATCTCCAGATAAGGTCGATGCACTGAAGGCGAATCAACACAGTCCGAAGCTCACCCGCGGCCAAAACATCACCTGTCGGGGGTGCGAATTTTTTGACCGCGGGGAGTTTATTTCCGAGCCTCAGAAGCCCATCTAAAGCCGAAGTCTTTCCCGTCATTATTTCTGTAAGCCCTAGGCGTTCCCGAGGACTCAAGACACTATATAAACCTCTTTTAAGTCATTTAGAAGGGTGTGTCACATTTCTCACCAGGAACCCTAGAAGAGAGTCTCGCCGCGAAGAGGAGCCACCGAGAGGGGCACCATCGACCCTCCTGCTTCAATCTGTTCTTCGTTTCTAACCTTTGTCTATTTCAATTCTCTGCAATTTTAAATACTTTTGTGATGTTAAACTCAGCTATGTCTGAGTAATTTCCGAGTTGGGTTTTTGAGGAATTTTTCAAAGGGAATTTCATGTCTTGATCATATGCTTTATTCGATTTAGGGTTCATAATCTTCTAGGATTCCTTCGTTCATTTGTGTTCCCTATGCTGTTTCTGTTGCTAACTACTTAGAAATTTATCTCAGTAATTGAAACCACGAGAGTGCTGTATCGAATTACCAGACCTAGAAGTGATCGAGCGAAATCGCTATAGGAGACGAAAGCTACCTATAGAAAATCGCGAGCATGGATGAATTCTGTTTTTAATGCATGATCTTATTCGCAGCATGAGAGCGAGAGTTAATTGCTGTGTTGAGTGATTAGATGATTAGGGTGACGAGAGATGGCTAATCTTACATGCGCCTATTCGAGTTCGGGATCATCACTAGATGATTACCTTAATCAATTTGTTTGTCTTTTGATCAATTCATGAACCCCTGCGAAAACCCATTAGAACCAGCACTTGATCTTTATTGTTTTACAACCTTTTTATTTGCATTGCTTTTAGATTTAGTGACACCAAAACCAAAATCCCTCATTTTGCTTGTTCTTCTAGTCTTAAGTCTTGATTTTTTCGTACTGAAAGCTCAAAATCTATGTGGTTCGACCCCTAAGTACTATAACGAACATCTGTGCACTTGCAGATATTTAGGGTTATAAATTTAAAACGTGAAGCTAGAAGTAACCCTTGATTCTCATAGCATCAATTTTTTGGTGCCGTTGCCGGGGATTTTGATTCCTTTCGTTGCAAATCTCTGCTTAATTCCGTAGAACTCTTTCTAAATTTTATTTTTCTTTGATTTTTCAGGTACTTTTTTGATGAGGGGTCGGGAGCATATCCTTGATCCTCTCGCTGAAGAGGACCCTTTTCTAGATGGTTATCCATCTGATGATGAGCTTAATGACCCAATCAATAATGGCAATGAAGCGATTGGAGAACCAAACTATGCCAGGAAGGGAGAGCAGCTGATTGGAGAATGCGATGCAGCCCACAAACTTTTCGTACATAGGGGAGCAATTCGACCACCTTTTCCTAAGGATGGCGACTCTGAAGCTAAGGTACAATACATTAGCTATCTCAAAAAGTATAATGGTTTTCCTACATAACACCCAATAGATCATATTGAGGAATACCGATTACCATATGTGTGTCCTTTTTCCATTCTCTCTAACTAGTAGAGCTAGTAAGTGGCTTAAAACTTTGCCACCTGCGTCCATAAGGACGGGGAAAGAGTGTAGAGAGGCTTTCCTAAGTCACTTTTACACCAGAGATCATTCCAATCTCTTAAGGGAAAACATCCAAAAATTTCAGCAGAAGGACACAGAGGACCTCTATGACGCCTGGGAAAGATTCAGAGATTACCAAAGAGATTTTCCACACCATGGTTTCTCCAAGGAGCACCTGATGACCATCTTCTATCATGGAGTTAATGAGATTGCTGAAACAGTTCCTTCCCGTTTTCTTTCAGTCCTTCTCTTGAGTGACCAAAAAATATTTTGTTCCTCATTCTCCAGCGTTTTTGCACATATCTGCCGATAAAAACTTAAGAGAGAATGCATGAGTTTTGAAAATAAAGGCTTGGGTTAAGGGTGTGGTACAAGCTAAAGATGAACTGGTCATCTAGGACAACAAAGAGTGGTAACAATAAGATAAAAATGTCCTAGATGTATATCATGATGCCTTCCTAAAACCATTGATGAGAAAATTAGATGTCAAGATTAGGTCCAATTAAAATGAGCCAGTATATCCTGTCAGAAAATATCTCCATGATTAGAAGTCCGTTGGTGGGATTTCTTAGTGTAGGTATTCTAGCTACTGCCTAATCTAGTACTAAATCTTGAAAGAGCTTTTTATGAACGAATGGTGTAGAAGCAAACAGGTTGGTTATCATCATCGATTTTTGTCATTATTCCCTCAAAACATATTTGACCTTTGAAAACATATTTTGAAACTCAAAAGACCTTTTGAAAAGTTTTAAGAAAACCGAAAAAACTTGAAAAATTTTGAAGAAAAATGCATAATGCAGAGGCTCATGCAAGAGAAGGTGGTCAGCAAGGGATGGAATCCTCCCCCGGACCTAAATCACATTATCCCCAGTGTGAAATAAATCAGGTAAGAATGAGAAATAGAGTATGTAAGAACTGAAAAGATAAAGTAAAAGAAAACTTATGGTGCTGGTGATGGGATGTGAGGTGGTTATGGAGGTGATAGAATAGTGAATGATGGATGGTGGTTGATGTGGGTGGTGCTTGATCAAATAGGGGCTGATTTGAATCAAGGTAGAGGTGGAAATGGTCAAGGGTGCCCGGAATGTGCTCGGCCGCGAATCAAGCTATCGCGGCCACGACAAAATGTTTCTTGGCTGTCGCTGAACCTCTCTCGGCCGCAGTCAGCTCCTTTTTGATCTCTTTTTATTTAAAAATAATAATTTTTGATGCATACTAAGGCCTATATAAAATAAGAAAAACAAAATTTCAATAGAAAAAGAAAATCAAACTAGATAAATAAATACCTAAATGGGTTGCCTCCCATCAAACACTTTGGTGTATAGTCTTAAGCTAGACTTTGCAAAGAAAAAGACTTAGTTCAAATAAGATCTTTTCCTAAGACAAGTGTTTTTCGAAATCCTCATGTTCTCTCTTGCAGGTGCTTCACCACTCCAGAGTTCTTCTGGTTCGAATGCTTGTGCTCTATGCTTTCCTCCTTCGCTCTTAAGTGGTGTAGCTTCATAGAAGATGTCTTTGTCGCTATTTGAAAAAGAAAGTCTCCGGTTGGGCCAATCCATGATGGCTCCAACAGTTGCTAAGAAAGGCTATCTAAGGATAACTGGATATGAGTCATCTTTGGTCTTCACTATGTAGAGATCGACATATGCTAGGCAATCTCCAATCCTTAGAGGAACGTCTCGGGCTATGCCTCTTGGAGTTGCACTTGAATCATCTGCTAAGCTTATCTTTATCCTGGTGCTTGAAATGTGTTTAATGCTAAGTCTCAAAGCAGTAGCCTTGGAAATCATGTTAATACAAGCTCCATAATCACAAAGAACATTGAGAAATCTTTCACCTCTAATGTCACAAGAGATAAGAAATTGACATTTGTCTTGAACTTTGTGCAGGGTTCGAACTAGTCTTTCTGGTGGATGGTATGGTGCTTCAAATGCAGAGTAATAGTCACAGTAAAACTTTGCTGCATCGAAACAGATGATTGAATCTATGTAAGGCATTTCAATCCTCTTCAGTGATTCATCCCCCTCATTTATGACATGTGGTTCACTTCTGCGATCATCATGCATTGAATGTGAGGGTTATGCTCTTCTGGATCTTCAGAGGCTTGGTGTTTTCAACTCAGGAAAAAGCAGTGGTTCCCCGTGGGTAAAGATGTCGCGACCTGATATGTTCA